CCTGTTAGAGTGGCTATTATCAAAAAGGTAAGAAATAACAAGTGTTGACGAGGATGTGGAGAAAAGGGAACCTTTGTGCACTGTTGGTGGGAATGTAAATTGGTGCAGCCACTATGGAAAACACTATGGAGATTCCACAAAAAATTAAAAATAGAACTACCATATGATCCAGCAATACCACTTCTGGGTATATATCTGCAAGAAATGAAATCACCATCCCAAAGAGATATCTGCATCCCCATGTTAATTGCAGCCTTATTTACAATAGCCAATTCATGGAAACAAAGTGTCCATTGATGGATGAATGGATAAAGAAAATGTAGTGAAATATTATTCAGCCATAAAAAAGAAGGCCATCCTGTTATTTGCAACAATATAGAGGGACCTTGAGGGCATTATGCTAAGTGAAAGAAGTCAGACAGAGAAAGACAAATAATGGATGACCTCATTTATATGTGGAATCTAAAAAAAACCAAATTCATAGATACAGAGAACAGGTGGTGGTTGCTAGAGGCAGGCGGTGGGGGGTGGGCAAAATGGGTGATGGTGGCCAAAAGGTACAAAGTTCCAGTTATAAGATAAATAAATCCTGGCCATGTATTGTACAGCATGGTGACTATAGTTAGCACTGTATATTTGAAACTTGCTAAGAAAGTAGATTTTAAAAGTTCCTATCACAAGAAAAAAAATTTGTAACTATGTGAGGTGATTGATGTTAACTAAACTTATAGCAATCATTTCACAATATATATCTATATCAAATCATTATGTTGTACATCTTGGGCTAATGCAATGTTAAATGTCAATTATATCTCAATACAACTGGGATAAAAAGGTTTATTGCAGGTGTGGGCAGTTGTTCTCCACGTACTGACCCAGTGATCTGGGCTGCTTCAATCTTGTACCTACTGCGTCTTAACCCAAGGTCTCCTCCATGACTGCTGTGGCAGGGAAGAGAAAGTCTAGAGAGCTGCTCAGAAGCTTTTCACTGTTTCATCCTGGAAGTGACACATGACTTCTCACTTTTTTTTTTTTGTGAGGAAGATCAGCCCTGAGCTAACATCTGCCAATCCTCCTCTTTTTTTGCTGAGGAAGACTGGCCCTGGGCTAACATCCATGCCCATCTTCCTCTACTTTATATGGGATGCCGCCACAGCATGGCCTGACAAGCAGTGCCTTGGTGCGTGCCTGGGATCCGAACCGGTGAACCCCGGGCCACCACAGCAGAGCGCGCACACCCAACTGCTTGTGCCACTGGGCCAGCCCCAACTTCTCACATTTTATTGGCTAGAGCTAGTCACATGGCCCCATCCAACTGCCAGGGAATTGGGAAATGTTAATTCTCACATGCCCAGGAAGTAAAGGAGGACCAAATATTAATGAACACTAGCAATGTTTACCACAAATGATGTGACCTTGAATTCAATAGTCTGTTGCCTTCCACTCCTCCAGCCCTTCCAAGAGTTTCAGAAGCACTGAATTGCTTTTGTTTGATATCCTTTTGTTTTTTGAAATATCTAGATTGGTTTCGGATTCCTACGGTGAACCCTGACTGACTCAGGTATGTGCTGGTGGCTTTTTGTCCCCTTACCTCCATCCACTCCCCACTACTCTGTGCCCCAGGAGGTCGTCCTCTATGAACTGCATCTTCCAGCTTCCTTTGCCCTCTGACTTTGGTTGGTTTTGGATCATGGGAGGTACTAGCAGGAGATCAGAAAGCAAGAGGCGAGGGCCGGCCCGGTGGCTTAGCGGTTAAGTGCACGCGCTCCGCTGCTGGCGGCCCGGGTTCGGATCCCGGGCGTGCACCGACGCACCGCTTCTCCGGCCATGCTGAGGCCGTGTCCCACATACAGCAACTAGAAGGATGTGCAGCTATGACATACAACTATCTGCTGGGGCTTTGGGGGAAAAAATAAATAAATAAAATCTTTAAAAAAAAAAAAAAAAAAGAAAGCAAGAGGCGAGAGAGGTCAGGATATTTATCTCCCTCTTTTCAACTCCCCACGAGACTGTGGGTCCCGTACCCTGCACTCAGTTCTGTAAAGAGTCCTTTCATTAAACTTTCCTCATTTAAAGACCTTGCATATGATGTCTGTTTCTTGCCTGGACCTTGCCTCATACAAGATGTTTAATAATCAAACTGTGAGTCTAAAAAAAGAGTACTAGACTCTCTCCCTTCCTCCAGTTTTACTGCAGCTGCAGATCTTTATAAAATCCAAATCCGAATATATCATTCCTCTGTTTTAAAACTTCAATGGCTCCCTATTAAATCCCTGTCCCCACACCCCACTCTAAGTTGCAGCCAGACTGAACTACTTTCAGTTCCTCCTGCAACATGGTCTCTCTTCCTCTGAGCCTTTGGCACATGCAGTAACTTCTTCCTGGAAACCGCTCCCCACCCCCACTCTCATCATTCAGACATCAGCTCAAATGACACCCCAGAAAGCCTTCCCTAAACCTACTTATCCTAGTCACATGTTATTATATGCTCCCACAGCAGCCTCTATTCACCATCACATATAGATAGAACTCAACGTTACATTGTACTGCAACTGCCTGCTTACTTATCTGTGTCCTCCAATAAACTGTAAGGCATAAAACAGGGATTGCATCTCAGATCTTTAGGACCTATTAAGCTGTTTGGCATACAATAGGCTCTCAATAAATCTTGGATAGTTCCTGAATGTTATTGAAAAAGCTTGAACCCTCCTCCTCCAGCTTCTATCCTCTCTCTTTTCATTCACTGACAAAAATCAGAAAAAATAATTTTTAGTCATCCACTCCTCATTACTACCTTCCATTCACTTCCCAGACCATTTTAATCTTACTTTGCCACCACCTTTTATGGAGACTTCTCTTGCCAAGATTACCAATGACCTCCTAGATCTTAAATTTAATAGCTTCTTTTCAGTCCAAATCCTCCAGGATTGCTTTGCAGCACTTTCTGGAAACTCCCTTCTCTGCTCTCCGTGGATCATGGAGATCTCTCTCTTTCTCTCTCTCTCTCTTTAATTAATCTGTTTGCATATCTGTGTTACCCTCCATTCATTTATAAGTCCCTATGAGTCTTGTTCATTTGTGTCTCAAGTCCCCAGCATAGTGCCTGGCACAGAGTAGGTCTTAATAACTATGAATATTAAATGCTTAAAACTCTTTCTTGGCTTCCAGTCCATCTCTCTTTCTTGATCTCCTTTTTCTCTGACTGTTCTCAGGAGGCTTCACAAGCTCCTCCTGCTCCATCTACCCATTAAATTTCTCCAGAGTAACTCATCTTTATCCACTGTTGGGGCTTCAGCCATCAGGGAATACTCTAATTCCCAAATGCATATTTTCAATCCTAACCTTTCATCTGAGCTATGGCTGCCCTTCTCTCCCTGGATGTCTTGCAGGCAGTTCAAATAAAGACTCATTATCATTTCCATTCCCAGCCTGTCCTCCTCCAGCTTCCAAAGCTCAGTCAATGGAATTAACATCCATCCAGTTGTCCAAGATACAAACCTCCAAGTCCCCTTAACTCTTCCCATGGCCTTTCCTCCCTTGTCCTGCTGGGCAACTAGCTTTATCCACTACCAAATACCCAGTCCCAAACTCCTCAAATCTGCCTCTGAGTCTTTACTTCTATTTCTTCCACCTGGAACACCTTCCCCCCACTTTGCCCCAAATTCTATGCATTTTTTGAAATTCTGAACACTGCTTAACATCAATTGCTTCCTTTTCTGAGTTCTAGACAAATTGCATCTTCATTCTGAACAAACACACCTTGATGCTAGATTTATTTTTTAACGACTGACTTACATAAGTCTCCCTCACTAGATGTGAAATTCTTGAGGGCAGGTTTTCCTTTTTGTTTTTGTTTTTTTATTATCATTGGGTCTAGCCAGTGACTGACATTTTATGCAATTAAAAATATTTTTATATGAATAAATAAGTGAAATTGGGAAACAGAATCTCTTCAATTACACCCTTTCGGAGATTACTGCGAGGGAACCTTTGAGTTAAAAGGACAATAAGTCATTCTGAAAACGCAAACATTATGTAACCAAGCAGGCAACATACATCATAACAACATATAATGCCTATAGAAGGCAGATAATTCCTATGCATCTAGGGAGACTTTACTTTTAGGCTTTTCACTTCTCGGTTTGGACAGCCAAATTTTAAAAGGGACGGTATTATTTTAACCCCTTCTGTACTCTTTTATCTTGGTGACTGGAATTAAAGTATAAACAAGACAAAACGCCTGTGGCAGTACAGTGCCTGGGCACTTGGTAGGCCCTCAACACCTTTTAATCCTTTTCCTTTTTTCCACCTAGTCCTCGTTTTATATTGGAAGTTTCGTGAATTTAGAGTACCTAAAGGAAATTTTCGTTTTAGAATCTCAATTTGACAAAACAACGTCGTGGAGATTCTGATTAACCCTATTAACCCATGACTCTCAAACCCAAGGGGAAACAAAAAATCACGGGAGGGGTAGGGGAGAAAGGAGGCGGAGCAAAAACTGACAGAAAGGCCGAGAGAAAGCTGTACAGGGAAGCTCCTCTTTGGTTGGGTTTGTCTTTTTTTAACCCCAGGGCGACGTGACGCCCTAACTGCCGTCGCAGGTCAGCTTCCCGGGGAAGCGCCCGCCCGCCCCGAATTTCCTCGCCCGCCCTCCGGCTTCCGCACCGCGGTGCGCTGCTGGCCGCGGCCGCTGGGGGCGCCCCGGGTCCTGCGGCGCTGAGGCGGCGGCGGCTCTCCGAGCTTCGCTTCTCCCCGCTCTCAGACGGGCGGCGGCGGCGGCG